AGATTGTCATAGAACCTGCAAACACATTGATGGATAAGATGTTGGTCCTCAATAATATGGTCTCTTTCATCTGTGAGTCTAGTGATAGCATTCATCTTCCTTTTGTGGGCAATAAAGGCATGGAAAAATTTTGAGTTCTTGTCACCATCTTTTAGCCATAAAATCCTCGACTTCTGCTTCCAAAAAAGCTCCTCAGCATGATAAGCATCATTCAGTTCCTTGTTAAGTTTATTCCATGCTCTCAATCTCTGTCACTAGTGGAAATTTTGAGTCGCTCAAGGGCTGTTGTTATGGCATTGATTTTGATCAGATTATCTGAATGGTGAGTGCTACTCCATTTCAATAGAACAACTCTTGTAGCTTTAATCTTTTCTTTCACTTTGAACATGGGAGTTCCTTCCACAGACTGAGCCCAGGCCTTTGAAACAACATCTCTCACTCCTTCTTTGGCCAACCACCTTTTATCAAAACTGAATCTCTTTTTTTTTTCTTGCATGAAGGAGAGTCAGAATTAATCAGTAGCATGCTATGATCAGAAGAGCTCCTGAAAATATTCTCAACAGATACATGATGGTGATCACTATGCCAATCATAGGAACAGAAAACTCTATCAAGCTTCTCCTCTACAAAGCCTTCATCAATTCTGTTGTTAGCCCAGGTGAAATTATAGCCTTTCCAGATGATGTCCATCATCCTCATATCAGAAATAAATGAATTGAAACCAGCCAAGCTTTGAGTTGTTTTAGGGATCCCTCTTTTCTTCTCTTCTGGGTTGCAGACATCATTCCAGTCCCCAACACATAGCCAAAGATTCCCCCATTTAGCCTGCATATCCTTCAGCAAATCCCATTGGTGTTCTCTAATGATTCTGATAAAACTTATATAGACAAAGATGAGCCAAACAGGTTCTGGGTGATGAATGTCTGAAAACTCAACCTCCATGCAAAAGTTGTGACAAATAATCTGGTGAATAGTAACTTCTTTCCCCCAAAACAAAAACAACCCTCCTGCAGAGCCCACAAGATTGACAATCTTCCATCTATCATCAAATCTCAAAGAGGAACAAACAGTATTTACAAACTCAAATTGTTTTTTAGTTTCTGAAATAAAAATAAAATCAGGGTAGTGGGTCTAGACATGGCAAAAAACCGGGTCGGGTCACGGCCCGGCCTGGCCCGGCCCACCGGGCCACCAGGTTGTGTTTCGACAACCCTGAACCGGCACGGACCTAGGTCGTGCCGGGTCCATGACCCGGCGGGCCAGGCCGGGCCCGACCCGGGTTTAGACCCGGCCACATACAAAAATAAAAAAAAGAAGAAAAAATTCAAAAGCAATGTTTTTTTCCGTGCCGACACGAACCCGGCCCGGCCCGCCGGGTCAAGGTCAGAAAAAACATGACCCTTGACCGGCCCATTTGAAATCCGTGCAGGGCCCGAACCCGTGGTCAACGGGTTTGACCGTGCCGGGTCCAAGCCGGGTGACCCGTGGCCATGTCTAAGTGGGTCCTTATGAAAAATAGTAAAGTCAATTATTCAGTTACAGAAATTATGTAAGTCATCTTCGCAAGAAAAAAGTAAAGTCAGATTGCTGAGATTGACATAATTTTTTATTTTTTATTATGTCAATGAAGTTTTTCAACATTTCAATATGATAACGTAATTTACTTTTTCCACCTATAATATATTTTTTTTAAAGTTCTAACTGAATTTTTGCAAAGATAACAATGATATAGCCATATTAGGATATACCAGCCTAAGTAACAACTGCACGATCGGATAACAAGTCGAGCCGCCTATATGTCGATTGAAGCAACATATCTCAAGTCGACCCCCTATACCACCACGGAAGGGAAGTCGACAACTTTTCAAGTCGACATGCTTAAGTTGACTCTACACGTCATCACGCTAGGGGAAGTCGACTTCCCTAAGTCGGCATGCTCATGTCGACTTTTACAAACCGTCTAAATTGAGGTGGACAAAACGAAGCCGATTCACTTTCTCAAGGAGATGAGAATGACTCGAAGATAGAGCCTCCCAATATATCCTTGCGAACTCCAAGTCGACCTCTGGTTACTTAGGATCGACTCCTTGCACGCCGAGGTTGGAAGTTGATGTCGAGTCAGTACCTTTCAGGATATATTAGCAAATCTATCAAATGAGGGTGAATCTTTTTCAGATAAGATGAAATCTTAAGCTGACTCAAAACCTACTAAGAGGTGATTAGGATGCAAAAGGACCGGATAATCAGACCGGTCGACTAGGGGCATTTTGGGTACTTCAACCAGGTATTTTCCTCCATAAAATGGGATGAGGTAACATCAAACCCTAACTTCTACACTCTCTATTCATTCCGTCTTCCCATTGCTTCTGCTCCTTCTGAGCAGAACCCTTTCGTCTCTTTCTGATAACTGACTTGAGCGTCAGAGAATCTACGCCGGAGAATTTTTCGGCGTTGAGTGCTTGCAGGTGTTTGCGACGGTCTAGAGACGATTCAGAAGCATTTCAAACAGATCGGAGCCCATCTTAACCGGTTCACTTCAGATCTAGGAGGAAACCCATCAAACAATGTATATATATACATGACAAGGAGAATTGCTAAAAAAATTGTCCATATAATGTTTACAAGTATCCAAAATATTGTATATGTACAAGCTAAAAAAAAATTAGTAATTAGACACTATGGGTGAAATTATTATTTTTTTTAATATGTTAATTAGACATTATAGGTGAAAATTAGTTAGTTTTTTTTTTTTAATTTATTACCGTTATATTAATTTGGTTTGCATTAATCTTGAGTTGGATTTTTTTTTTGTTGAATTCAACAATGGCACTCCAATTCTATGGTGCTAAAATCATATTGACGAGTTGTATAATTGTATTTAGCTTTTTGCAGTATGATAACATTTTAATAATTTGGCAGGACTTTTTTGAAAATGTATTTATCGATTGAATAATGTGGGTGTGCTATAGAATACAATTCATCTTCTAAAAATAAAGATTGAACGAAATAAAATTTATTTTAAAAAAGGTGTGGTTGAAAAAAAGGAGTAGGACACACACTATTTAACTTTTCAAATTTACAATATATCATTTGAAGATATATATATATATATATATATATATATATGTATATTCAATCATGCATATATAGTGCCATTTATTTTGAGTGCATGGCATTGTTGAATTTAGCACAATAGGATGTAAAAAAGCATAATCTTGAAAATGAAAATAACATTGTGTGAAGTGGGATTATAATAAAATAGTATTTCATTTGTGCAATTGTTAGTCAATTAAGAAAAATTCTCAATGTCCTTTGTGCAATTGTTAGTCAACTAAGAAAATTGTTCTTCGCCACTTGAAAGGAAATTTAATCATGTATATATATTTATATATTGTATGTAAGTGGAAAAAATTATGCATATGTGCATATATCTAAATAAAAATTGTTTTTGAGATGAAAAAAAAAAGGTGGGCAAACATTGATACTTGTATAATTGGTACGTTATCATACTATGTGTCATTTGTTTAATAATAGAATAAATATCACTAACACATGTCATCCATTAATAAATAAAATATGAGAAACATAAACATGGTCATTTATTTTGTGTGATGAGATTAGATAAATTAATCAAAGATACTTTACACGCGAGCAATTTGTGCTACATTTACTTTGTATGATGGGATTGTTTGAAACAGTGGGATCCGCAAATACGTAAAGGAAAGACTAGGATAAAAAATATGGCGTGGAGGCAAGACTAATTTAATTGTCTAATATTAGATAAGCATGGGGCCCACAGTCTACATGTGTGCCAAGTGAGGCAGTCACGTCTCAATCTAGAAAAGTAAATACTACACAAAGGAGACAATTTTCATTATCCAATCTCATCCCGACGCATATTAGAATTGGGAAACTTATGACCCTATTAATACCCTCTCTAATCTCTATTAGTGTTGTAAGTAAACTAATAACATTTGACACGTTAGACTTATTGGTGGATTACAGCTCAAAGCGTTCACCCATAATTGTGTCCACCTTTAAGGCTGCGTCCAATCACAAGCCATCAAATTTGTAAACCATAAGAAACAAACACACAAATGACAAACCCCAGTTGGAAATTTCGATTTTTGACTTCATACACTCAAAGTCAGCGTGTTAAAAAATATGCTCATGCAAATATGAGGTAATTTTTTGAGAAAAATTTGACCATCGATTTTGCTATAGATTCATCGGATGCCTCGGCTTATGAAGCCATCCATAGTTATTCACAAATGGTATATTAACACGTGTCATGCAATAAATACATATCGGACACATGTCAATACATAAAGTTATGGATAGTTCCATAAAGAGAACCATCCGATGACTCCATAACATTTCTGTTGCTCTATAATCATTTGACAAACAAACTATATGGTGTGGGTGTGTATATGAGGCAACTGTTTATAAAAAAGAGAAAAGAAATAGAAGCTGAAGTATGAAAATGGGCATCAACTAGTAATCCACACAAATGATCAAATAACTGTTCATAAATCTGAAAAAAAAAAAAAAAA